AAAAGGACCCTCCCCCCCCAGATGTCCCCCCCCCCTGCCAACTGACGGTGGGGACTGCCCAGGGGCCATATGCCTTCCCCCCTGCAGCTCCCACATTGGGGAACGGGCTCCCCGAGATGGGGACGGGAGTTTTGTCTTGAGACATTTTCTGGAGGCGCCGTAAGGCCGTTCTGTTTGATGGGGGCAGCTCAGAGTTCAAACAGTTTTTTTAAAGAAGATCAGTAAACATGGAAACAAAACCAATCCCCAAAAACACATTGCCAATGGGAGGACGCCAGAGTGCAAACTCATTCAACCAAGGGCAGGCTTGAAAGAGAAAAGGCCCACGTGGGGGCCACACGCGGCGCTTCCCCGCAGCAGGTCGCTTGGTGAGAGAGCAGGGAAGAGAGAGGGGTCAGCCGCCCTGAGGGGGCTTTCCCACCCCAGCTAGCTGCACAGCCGCCTTCCCCAAACCAACAGAGGCCCACAGGCCTGCGAAGGAGCCGGGATCCGCCCGGCACACCGCTTGGGGCGACGAGGCAGCGACGTTCTTCACAGGCACCTCCTTCCCAGGCCTCTGGTGATTCCGGGAGGGCCTGAAGCAGCAGCCAGAGGAGCCCGCCCTCGCCTCCGGGCCACTGGACAGACCGGGCACCGGACCGGGCAAGAGGCTCTCGTGGCCATCTGGCTGCACGTGGCCCGTTTCGGGGGCCGGGTGACTCTGCAGCAGCGTCCAGCACTTCTGGCCCTCTCGCTCACACCCAGGCCCAAGGCACGAGGGCACTGCTCCCGGGCATCTGCGTCCCCCCCACCCCCCATGAGAGGGGAGGCCTCACCCCACTGAGCCACAGCCAAACACCGCGAACCCCTGTGTGGCCCAATCTGGGGGTGGGGGGTGGCGGTGGTGATCGGCGCACACAACACGCAAGCGGCCGGCCCCCACCCTGAGCATGTCTTCCCCCGCCCGGCAGCCACTCTCTGCTGGGGTGAAGAGGGGCGGCCTCTGACTTGCAGGAGGGTCCCCCCCCTCCCCAGTTTCTATTCAGGGAGGGAGCCCGGCTTCCTTCCCTCCCGCGGCCCCTCCCCACTGCCTCCTCCTCCTCCTCCTCCTCGATGGCTCCCAGCCCATCCGCCGCAGAGGCACCCGTAACCCAATCCGGCAGCAGCGCGCCCGGGCACCGCAGCACCATGCGAGGAATGCAAATTCAAACCACAACCCCGGCTGAAACAGGAAGAGCGATTTAATATTTCCTGATTTAGGGGGAGACGAGTGTGTGGAAATCCCCCCCCGGAGGTCAGGCCTGCCTTCATACCTAATACGTTATGGGCCGTGGAGCATTATCCAGCCCTCGTATTACAGGCCGAGCACTTGCCGTTGTGCTGATGAAAAACAAAAATCAGTTCCACATGGCAGAGAGGGAAGCGGCAGGGCCCCCCCCCCCCCCCCCGCCACAATGAATACTGTTGCCTATTATAGGAATTAGACTGTAAATAAACTCGGGCCAGGCTCTTCCTCTCCCTGGACGGCAGGTGCTTGGGCAACTGGACGCCCACCGTGCAACTGACCCGCAGCAGCAGAGTCACAAAGAGCTCGGCGTAGAGGCCCACGATGGCCGACCCGGACTCCGGGACAGACATGAGCTCATGCAGAGCACACGTGGCCTGGAGGAAGAGGAGGAGAGGTCAGGAGGAGGAGGGAGCTGCCCCACACACACACACACCCCACTGTGGACACCTCAGGGACAGGCAGGCCACAGGAGCAGGGCCACATCCGCCAGGCCCGGAGGCAAGGGTGGGGCTCGGCAGGTCAGAGAGAGAGAGAAAGCGAGCCCCAGACCCCGCCTGACCCCCCCCCCCCCCCACATCAACCCAGCCGACTTGAAGAGTCTTCCCCGGAGCACCACGGGCCATGCCGATCCACGTGTCTGTAACCCCGCAGCTGGTCTACTGCAACACACTCCACGTGTGGCTGCCCTTGAAGACAACCCAGAAACGACACCTGGTCCAGAATGTGGCCGTCCGACTGCTGTTAGGGGCTGGCTGCCAGGAACACACGTTGACCGTTCTGAAACAGCTACCCTGGCTGCCGGTCTGCCCCTGAGTTCAATTCAGGGTGCTGGTGCTGTCCTTCAATGCCTCTCCCAACCCGGGGGGGCCGCCTACTTCTGCCTGCCCCTGGGCGCCAACTGCGGGCCGCCCCATCACTCTGGGTGGCCCGTCTTGCCTCCACCGGAGCCCCCCGCAGAGCCTTTTCCACCGTGGCTCCAGCCATGTGGCAGGGGCTCTCTGAGGAGGTGGGGGGGCCCTCCTTAGAGATCTGCAGGAGTCTGGGGTTGGCTATTTGATCTCTGGTGTTAACTGGAAACAAGCTGCCTTGAACCACAAGGAAAGGTGGGATACAAAGGTTCCGATCAATCAGCAGGCCAACCGAGGCAGGTGCCCGACGGCGGGGTCTCTGGGCTCAAGGGCGCACACACGGCCCTCGCCCCACACCGCAGCACAAAGGCTGGACCTGGGAAGAACCGGAAAGGTAGTGACCTTCACGAGGGCACCCGAGGGGCTTGAAGGTTGGGGCCGAGGGCGAGAAGTCGCCGGGACCCCCCTGCAAGAGCTGCCCAAAAGAGAACGTCACAGCCCCCCCGGCTGCTTCCCCCTCGCCCCGACCCACCCGAAGGGAACGGGGGCCCTACAGGCAGCCACCCCCAGTCCAGGCTCTTCTCTATAAAGCCGCAGGAGCCGGGGACGGAGGGCTCTTGGGCCTGCCATGTTGCGGGGAGAGGATGAGATTGATCAGAGGGGATTGGATTTTATACCCCATGGCCCTTCACTCTCCGAAGGAGTCTCAGAGCGGCTTCCCATCTCCTTTCCCTCCCCCTCCCCACTACAGACACCCTGGGAGGTAGGCGGGGCCGAGAGAGCTCTTTCGAGAACTGCCCTTGAGAGAACAGCTCTGAGAGAACTTGTGACTGACCCAAGGTCACACCAGCAGCTGCGTCATGTGGAGAAGGAGTGGGGAATCAAACCCGGCTCTCCCAGATTAGAGTCTGCGCGTCTCACCACTACACCAAACTGGCTCTCCACAAGCTTCCTCCCCAGTTCTTTAATCATCCCGATGGGGAGCCCGGGAGCCCTGCTTGACTGAGACGGAGAGCCACTGAGGCCCCGCTGCCAAGCCCAACAGTGGCCCCACCTGGGTACTGCCAGGAAGCCAGCATACAGGGCACACGAAGGCTTGTGCTTTGCCCTCTTCGGTCCCCAGAACTGAATATTCTAAGGTACACTGCCTCTGACAATGGAGGCTCATCACACAGAGCAAAAGGGACAGCCCCAGTGGCTGATCTCCACCAACATCCCCCCCGCTCTGAGGACGAATGCAGACTGGAGGCCCTGGACGCATGGAGAGGCCACCCCACGTGGCGCGCTGGAGACCCCTGGAGGCACACGGACCACAAACAAGGGCCTCACAGCGGGGAAGGCACCCCAAGGGCTCTCCCGGAGTCCCTGGCCCAGTAAAGCCCGTGGGCTTGAGGGAGGCCACCTTTCCCGAGGCCACAACACTTCCCCAGCGTGCGAAACTACCCCGTGTTCCACATTTGTAAAGAAACATGAAGGCTCAAAGTTTTGGAGGTGAAAGCGCCCCCCCCCCCCCCCACGGCAAAGACCGAGACTTCAGCACTGGGCCGTTCTAGTAAAACGTGGCTCTGAACTTGCACGGCAGGCGAGGCGGAGAACACAGGCAGCGGCTACTTTGGTCCCCCCTGGCTCAACAGGCGCGGACCCTGCTAAGACTTGCCCTGTCATGCGCTTGGGTTCCCTGGTGACGGGGCCTGCCGGACGCTTGTCCTTCCGGGGGGGG